AAACGTCTTCCATTTAAGGGTTATGGAGGCCACTGTGCTCTTAGGTACCTTAAGTGCAGCAGAATTTTTTTTGTAACCTTGGCCAGATCTGTGCCTTGTCACAATTCTGTCTCTGAGCTCTTCAGGCAGTTCCTTTGACCTCATGATTCTCATTTGCTCTGACATGCACTGTGAGCTGTAAGGTCTTATATAGACAGGTGTGTGGCTTTCCTAATCAAGTCCAATCAGTATAATCAAACACAGCTGGACACAAATGAAGGTGTAGAACCATCTCAAGGATGATCAGAAGAAATAGACAGTACCCGAGTTAAATATATGAGTGTCACAGCAAAGGGTCTGAATACTTAGGACCATGTGATGTTTCAGTTTTTCTTTTTTAATAAATCTGCAAAAACGTCAACAATTCTGTGTTTTTCTGTCAATATGGGGTGCTGTGTGTACATTAATGAGGAAAAAAAATTCACTTAAATGATTTGAGCAAATGGCTGCAATATAACAAAGAGTTAAGGGGGTAAGGGGGTCTGAATACTTTCCGTACCCACTATATATATATATATATATATATATATATATATATATATACACACACACATTAAAAAAACAGTTAAAATAACTGCATATTTGTAATACTATTGTAACAATATTTATTTCACAATACTTTCACAATACTATTAATGTTTCTACTGTATTTTTGGTCAAATAAATCCAGCCTTGGTGAGCAGAAGCATTTAAAAAAATCTTACAGACGTCAAACGTTTGAATGGTAGTGTATACATTAATAATATAATACAAAAAAAGATGATATAATACTTCCTGTTTTTGTGCTGCTAACAAAAATAATTCCAAATGAGGGCAAATCAGAATCAAGCGTTGCATGTCTCCAAGCAACACACAGCAGTGGTGTTTCGTTTCTTGGTTTAACGTACTGTATGATTCAATGTCTCAATCAAAGTGAGTGAAATTCAAAGACTACTTTTTTTTATAAAGTATACTACTTTATATAAATCTATGTTTGGTTATTATATTTCATCTTATATATTAAGTGTGAACAATTCTATTGAAGTATGTGTAAGTATTCATGTGTTTGGGCACAGGTTCGGTCATACACACAGACACACACGCTCCCAGATGTGACAAATGTCAGATTAGCATACAGCAGCACTCCTGATGGCAGCTAACACATGCCTGCAGCTGCAAACCTCCCAAACCACAATCACCCTCTAACACACACTGGCACACTGCCTCAGCATCGTGACATGAGTCCCCATGAGTCTGTGTGTAGTCAGGTTTAAGTCCCCACCAGAATAGAAAAACACAAACACACACACACACACACGTTTACTTAGCTATCTAAATGGGGACATTACATAGACTTCTATTGTTTTTATATACAGATAGTTATAGATTTTATAAGCAAATCCTAACCCTACCCCTCACAGAAAACTTTCTGCATTTTTACAATAAAAAAAAAAAACTTTGTTTACCTTATTTTTATACCAGTTTTACAAATTAGGACGTCCCCAAAGGGAGGTTTTTGGAGATTTTGTAAGGTTTAGCTCACTTTTGAGTACAAATTTGTCCCCGAAATATGGTTAAGTACAAACACACACACTGAACCAACAATGCTCTCTACAACCTTTTTAAAAAGACCATCTACTTATAATATCTTATATTATGAAAATATTTAAAAAAGTTCAATGTAGAGTGTTTGCCTGTGCAAATCTCACCATCATGATGAAAATGTGTTGTAGGTGGTTACCAGGATGTTGCTATGCAGGTATATGCTAAGTTATTTTAAGTGCTTTTTAGCACTTTACTATGCAGTTGCTAAGGTGTTTTTATCACATTGCCATGTGGTTGTGAAAGCTATGCTGTCACTAAGGTGCTCAGAGTGGTGTAGAGTGCAAAATGAATCTGTTCCCTACCTGAGTGTAAAGCAAAACGTCAATGGTCATGACAAGAACATGCTACGATTAGTCTGTTGCTACCATGTTGCTATGCAGTGGCTAATAGAGTGTTTTTTAATCATGTCACAACTAGAGTGCAACAATCGGGTTTCGGAAGTAAAACCTCATTCGTTTTCTCCACAGGGAAACTCATTTTTTAAAAGAACCGTTAAACTTTAAGACATACCTGTTGTGAGCTCCGAGGTTGTCAATTTGTTGCACCCATCAGTTTGCATAAATTTTTATTTTTAAACTTATTTTAAAATAGTTTAACATACACAGAAAATCCCACCAATCAGTGTTGCAGTGAGCAAAGCATGCCCAAAAGAGCTCCTTAGCTCCGCCCCCTCCCATGAAGCTCAGTGAATGACATAATCGTGTCGGTCTCCCCATGTTCTCAAAATGCGTATATATTTGTATACATGTGCATATTTTGCAATAAACTTAAAATGTTGTGCTTCTATAGATACACCAAATAACTTGTACCTTTTTTTATGATCTGATTTTCATTATTTTTTTTGCTTCAAATCAAAGTTTGAACTTTGAATAACACTTTTTTAAAATCCCAATGGGAAAATGAATGGGTAAAATACTTTATCAATCAGCACAGTTGAAAAAGTGGGTGGGGACTAATGCACTCTATAGTCACTAAGGCGTTCAGGGACATTTTTAGTACATTGCTAAGTGTCACAGTTATGTTCCGTTCATGGACTTTGGTTGTGTTTCTTTCATTTCCTGTTCTCCTGCTTAGTTTTGTTCCTTGACCTAGTTTTCCTTAGTTCCCTTGATTAGTTCATTCAGTTCACCTGTGTCCTGTTAATTTAGTCATTAGTCCCTCTCTTGCTTTTGTACAAGTACTCCCCATTTCTGTTCAGTTTATGCGTACACTGCGTTGGTTGCCTGTCTTCCTGGATTTCCTGTCTGTTCTTCTGTGGATTATTATTAAAGACTGTGTATTGGTCAACTCATGCGTTGTGCACTTGATCTGCCATCAGTGAGTGAGACACTAAGAAGTCGCTAAAATGTTTGGAGTGTTTTTTTGCCTGTTGCTATGTGATGCTAAGGTCCTCAGAGTGTTTTTTTTTTAGCAGACTATGAGGTAGCTAAGGTGTCAGAGGTTTATGCTGTTGGCCCATCAGTGAGTGAGACACTAAGAAGTCGCTAAAATGTTTGGAGTGTTTTTTTGCCTGTTGCTATGTGATGCTAAGGTCTTTTTTTAGCAGACTATGAGGTAGCTAAGGTGTCAGAGGTTTATGCTGTTGGTCACTAAGGGGTTCTGAGATGTGTTTTGAGTGTTATGGGTTGTTCAAGTCACTAACCCTGAATATGAGAAGTAATAGTAATAGCAATCCGTTTCATTTAATATAGTCTACATGCGATCATATAAGCCTTGATCTTTCTGAAGGGTTTAAAATCCTCTAGGAAATCTGCACTAGTTGTTGTTTATTTGCTCCATTTGGCTCCATCATGATCAAAACAGACTCTCTCTCTCTCTCACACACACACACAGTGCTTTGACCATGGGGATGAATGAAGATCTACCCAGGTGACTTTGTCTCTCTGACCTGTTCTGGCCCACTGCTCTTCTTATCTAGCGATTCATCCTCAAGACCTCTGCCAGTATTTGTTCTGACATTTTAATTAAAATAGTACTAGCTCATTCCTGTGATAAAAAGGCTGTGTGTCGCCCAGCGGGGCCCCGCATCCCACCCCCCCCGCTGTGCCGGCCATGCACCTGAGCACACATGCTCACACACACACACAAAGAAACAATTATAACATTTCTATTGTCTTGAACCACAGAAGTACTTAAATTCACATCAAGAATCAATAGAAAAAAGTAACGCTTCAAGGAGAGTATGTGTATGATGGAAGAGTGATAAAGATTATAGGTGTGTTGAAATGCTGGCTGATAGCGGGAGATTGAGTTTGTTGGAAGGAGTGAGGAGAGTTGAGAATGCCATGGCCTAGATGACCTTGAACTTACTACAATCAAATAAGAGAGGCATCTCACCATCACACTTATCTGGAGTCAAGACGCTGTTATTACACAAATTATGATAAACTGGCACATTTTAGGAATTATCAACAATGACATGAAGCTGCAGGTAAAGATGAGTATCAGGAAATGAAATCAAATCAAGGTAAAAACTACCTACAATTTAAAGTAGCTAAACTAGTCAAAATTATATCGTTATATGGCTTAGTACGATTATCAAATCACAAAGACTGCAATTTAATTACATAAATATATGCACTGCATGTTTCAAAGTGAAGAATAGACCGTTTTTTTCTTTTTCTTTTACACGCAAGCAGCTCACAGTGCTTTCAGTGTCTCAGAGCAGTAAATGCTGCTCCACACAAACTCATCTCTGCATGTGCTCTGAGTTTGGATCGCTTATACTGTGCAATTACCACTGCAAAACCAACATGCCAACTACTTCCTGAACTGGTGATGTGAAGTGATTATAAACCAGCTGTTGTCAAAAAAGAGAAGCTTTAAGAGCTCTCTGCGGGTTTCTATAAGCTGAATGGTTTAATATATGAAATAGAAAAAAATTAAGGCAGTCATAAATATTAGTATTGTCATTTTACAGGTGTAACATCAATAATTATTATATTCCCTAAATACAAATTTTTTCACATTTCTTAATTAGTTTAATATAAAAAAAATAAAAATAAAAATAATATATATATAATTTACAAAATAGCCCATGTAACATGACATATGAAAGCTTCTGGGAACACTATTAAAAAATTAATAGTTTTTTAAAACCTATTTATTGAAATTAAACGTCTGAATGAACCATCTAAAATGAATGGTACCTTCTTAACACCACTTCAATAACAGGAGTGAGAGGACATTCCAGGAAAAGCATGATTATTGCCATAGCTCACTCAACTGTAAGGCTGTGCGCTTTATTTTACAAAAAAAGTGGTTTGTCAGGCTACACTACTGCATATTTGAAAAAAGTAATGTTACTTGAAAACCTCAGTGTTGTTTTAGGATAACTGAGAAGAGATATTATTGTTTTTTACTAATATTTTGAATCTGTTTTTATAATTATATTTTATGTTTTTATTTTATTTTTTTAAATAATTTTTGTGTATTTTTGTAATTTTTAAGTGCCAATACCGTTTTTATAAATTTTTATTTTAGTTTAAGTTATTTTAGGACATTAAGTTAAACTAAATGAAAATGAGAAATTACCTTGGCAACAAATTGAAATAAATTTGTTTTATGTTTATTTTATTTAATGTATGTATATACATATACATACATACACACACACACAATAATAAAATCTTGGAAGACCTACTGCTTTGCTGATACTTAGTTACTATACTGACATTTTACCAGCATGTACAACTAAAATAACATTTTAAATTGAATCTTTGAAATCCAAACTCACTATGTGATTCCACCCTTATGATCTGAAGGTAACGTGAGGTCATATGTGACAGGTCGCGCTCAGATTCACTCTGAAGAAGCCAAGCAGACCCTGACAGAGCATAATGGGAATCAATGGGAGCAGCTCCTGGCCCCTGCCTGCCACACCACCATCAATATCAATCACTGTTATCGGCAATAACGTCTCTGTGTAAGCCCTTCACTGAATGTCACAGCAATACCAGATCTTTCTTCTTTAAAGAGAGGAAGAGATGATCTCTCTTTGACACGAGCGGCAAGGTTAGTTAAGTACTGTTAGCAGGATGTATCTGGATACGCAAACGGAGGTCGATGCGCAGAAGGACTGAAGATTTTAATGGGTTTTAAATGATGGGGAGTTTTAATCAGAAGTGAAGGAGCTGGTTCAGGTCTTACCTTCTGAAGGCTCCTCTCCAGGAATGGTGGAAACGTGAAACAACTGAGATACAACTGGAGCAAGATCTTCCTGCGCCCTACCAGATGATGAACAGGTCAAGTGGACCAAATCTGAGAAAAAAAGAGAGAGAAAAAAAGATCACAACAGACCATTTAGAGCAATTAAGAGGGTCATATTTTGTTTTTTGTGTCATATGTTTCAGACAAAACTTTTATACCATTTCTAAAAAAAAAAAAGTTAAAAATCTTTAACATTTATAATAGGTATTTTTTAAACGTACACCGTTCAAACTAGGCTGCTTATGTTGAAGTGTTTGGGATGTGGCTTTTAATGATGAGACCTTTTTTGTAATCAGGCTCTCAAAAAGTATATAACAATTTGGATATAGATTTATCGGCCAACATATCGGTTATCGGCTTTCAAAAATAAAGAATAATCGGTTATCGGTATCGGCCAAAATGTTCATATCGGTGCATCCCTAATTTATAATAATGCTATGTGGTAAAAAGCAACAACACTGTAATCATTATTAATTAAATAAATACAAAAATAAATATAATAAATAAATTGTATACACAAATTAAAAAAATCAAATTTTTTTAACAAATATCATGAATTATTAATAAAAATAATAAGTTTTACGTTTTTACAACCTAGGAGTCTGCAGGGTTTCTCTGTATGATATAATTTTCAGTTTTTGTTTTCTCTGCATGTTAGCTGAACCACATGACTTGGCAGACAAATGTTTTTGAATATTAATAAGCTGTTGTTTTTTACAATATTATTTTGTTTCTAAGAAATAATAATGTAGGATTGTGGAAAACTACTTAAAGGTTTTCTTTTCAAGAATTTTATTCTTTTTTTCTTCATTTCTTCATTGTAGTATCTGTAATACACTTTTTTTGGATGCCCCCCAAAAAATATCAATGAATTTTAATTCATGTTCATCATAAAAGAGGTGTATTCAAGTCATCATATGAAAGCCCATTTCCACCACGGAATAAAAAAGGTAATTGTAACTTTTTATCTCACAATTCGGACCTTTTTTCTCTCAGAAGTACACATCTCACAATTTTCCTTCAGAATTGTGAGAAAAAAGGTCTGAATTATGAGATTAAAAAATTCCAATTACCTTTTTTATTCTTTATTCCAGAAACAAGCTTCCATATGATCCTGTGTACCCGAATATATACTAGATATAAACTTGCCATTCTGAGAAAAAAATTTTTTTTCAAAATGTTTACATCTCGCAATTCTGAGTTTCCCTCTCAACTTTTGGGGAAAAAAAGTCAGTATTTTGAGGGGGAAAAAAAATCTGAATCGTGAAAAGTAACAATAACCTTCTTAAAAAATGTTATCCCATGGTGGAAACTATCTTCCATAGGATTCAAGCTGCTGCCTATAAGCTGCACTAGGCAACATGTCAGAGCATGCTTACTTTACTAGCAAAAAACGAATTGTTTAAATAAGTATGACAAACTTGGCTAACAATCTGCCAAGAACTACTACTAAAGGCTCTGGCTTTACTTATAAGTAGCCCTTAAAGTGATGGAGAGGGGCAAAGAAGAAACAGGCACTAAAATTCAAAACAACAAATCTCAATCCTCATAAAGGTCTGAGAAGTTCTACTACTGGGATCTGTGAAAATGTCCCGGGTAATCCCAAGTGTTTACAGACCACTTCCAGGCTAATCATTACTTCCCCATTGTTTCTTCCTGTGGTCTGTGGTACAACATTGTGTGCGTGAGGATCAAAGAGAACGATTCCAGTGCAGGCAGCTCAGGGCGGCACATAGGCTCCGTGTCACACAGTGGAAAGGCGCACACATGTAGGCATCTCCAGTGGGACAGGAGGTGCAGCGTCGCTAAAGGCTCTAAAGACACACGGGACACCGCAGAGTTTTGAAAAAGATTCTCACCACAGCCAGAGACACTCCGGGGGCTGATTTTAAAAGTCCTGGATAGTTCAAAAAGTGAACACTTTGGCACTACAGGTGGATTCATATTATGCCCAGTTATGGACATCAAATGTTCTGTATAGAATCTTGAAGAAAAAACAATGTTTTTTTTCTGTTCTATTTGAGTGGAGACTTTTATAAGAATATACATCCCCCCTACAGTATACATGAAATTCATGGAAGAATTCCAAACTTATGAAGATGCATAATTTGAAGTCGCACAAACTAAATAAATATATATAATAAAAATTATATTTAATCTGCATAATCAACAGCAACATTCATAATCCATTTGACTTCCATACTGTGATATATTTTAAAGTGAAGTTAAATGTAGATTATTTAATAAGACCAAACACTGAAAATATAAATGACTTGGAGTCCCACTTAAAAATAATATAATATTAAAAGTTTTTTTTTTCTCTCTCTACTTTTTTATATGAAAAAGTGTTTAGGCATGTATTTGTTATTGTTCTAATTATTATTATTATTTTTTCTTTATGCATTGGTGATGGGTATTAACACAAAAGAAAAAAAAGTGAGGGAAGAGAAAGTAGAAGGAAAATGAGGAATAATAATTGGTAAAAAATATGATGTCTTTAAAGGAAATGTTCATTTGTATAACTGTATTAAATGTGCTTGAACTGAAAGACATAATAAAGTATAAAAAAATTATATCAAATCAATTAATCAATCAATTAAAATAAATCAATTATTAATGTATTCACTCAGAAATCAAAATGGAAATAACTTACTTTCCAAATTGACAAATAAATACAGATATTTAAAAATGCATTTAAATTCAAGCTTAAAAGTGTAGTATAATGTAACATTGCACTTTTATAAAGCATTTTAAATTTGTTTTTAATCATTAAACAATCATAACTTTTAAAATTATAATATACTTCTCACAATACCAACTACACTTTCATATGATTATTGTCCTTGTTCAATTATTATGTTAATATTGAACTACATTAAGAATAAATTCTATATACAGTTGTAAATGCCTGTAAATTGTCAATCTGAAAAGTGATTTATTATTTAACAGATACATAGTTAAACTTTAATTAAATAAACAATTTTAAATATGTCTATTTCATTCATTTTAAACTAAATCACTAAATATCAATAAATTGATTAATTATATTTTTAAGTGGCACTCCCAAGTCCTCCACACACTGATATCCATTGGTTCAAGCTGAAAGTATAAAGCAAAAAATGGGTCCCTATTCTGATTTCATATAGATTTTAAATGTGAAATATGCAAAATTTTTTACTGATACTTTAAATACTTAAAACTTGCTCCCAGTGTAATGAGATTAGGCCAAACCTGAGGTAGAGTTTGGAGCGGATATAATTTTGGCAATTCTGTTTGGTCCTGCTAGTGGCCCAAAATCACACACTTCACCTTCAAAGTCTATAATCAATAGTCGTGGTGTTGCTTGGAGCCCTTGAGAGCACATCTAACATCCTCAGCAGTGTAACTAAAAGAGTCTTGTCATAAGTGGTTAATGATAAATAAAGAGCATCTTCTCCTGTGAACGCATGTCTGCCATGGTCATCATCATCCGCTGATTGCGAGGGATGCTCTCAGGTAGAAGTGCATTACTTAAAGAGGAACGACTATGATCCATCTCCCTGTGGGATCGGGCTATAGCACAGCAAAGCTTCCAATCATTTCCCCTGAACTCAATTCCCAGAGAGAGGAAGAGGAGTTCCGCTGATTAAGCTTTTCATTCCCCCGTGAGGACGGAGTCAGTCACTGGGACCTGCGCCAAAACCACTCCACCATCCCCACCTGATCTACCCCTTCACGATGATTGATAGCAAAATAGGGCCAGTGTAACAAACAGAATAACTTTCATAAATAACAATGGAGTTAATGATGGAGTCATAGCTGACGTGGGCGGTGAACTGAGTGTTTTGAAGGACAGTTTTGACATTTGGCTGTGCTTTAAGACTATCAGTGTGTATCAGTGTTATGTTAGTTTTGGAAGATCACTGATAGTTCAAACTCTACATTTTGTAAATTAATACAGAAAAGAAGCATTTACAGTACAAACATGCAAAAAAATAAGAAATCAGGAAGGGGGCCAACACTTTTTCACACCACTGTATATACACTACTGGTCAAAAGTGTATAAATGTTTTGAAAGTCTCTTATGCTGACCAAGGCTGCATTTACTTGATCAAAATCCAGTAAGAACAGTAATATTGTGAAATAGGTGAATAGTATTTTTTTTAAATGTAATTAATTCCTGTGATGCAAAGCTGAATTTTCAGCATCATTACTCCAGTCTTCAGTGTCTCATGATCCTTCAGAAATCATTCTAACATGCTGATTTGCTGCAGGAGAAACATTTTTGATTATTATCAATGTTGAAAACATCTTTGATGAACAGAAAAAAAGAACAGCATTTATTTTATAGAATTTAATAGAAACCTTTTGTATCATTATAAATGTTTTCTGTCACTTTTGATCAATTTAATGCGCCCCTGCTGAATAAAAGTATTACTGACTTTTTTTTTTAATCTTGCCCAAACTTTTAAAAGGTAGTGTATCAAGGTTTTCAAAAAATAATAATCAGCAAAAACAGTTTTTGAAATTTATAATAATGTTAATGATCCTAAAAATTCAGCTTTGCATAACAGAAATAAATGAAACTTTAAAATATATTCAACTAGAAAAGAGTTATTTTAAATTGTAATAAATTATTGTTTTTACCATATTTTTGACCAAATAAATGCAGCTGGACTTCCTTAAAAAAAAAAAAAACATGCACACACAGACACACACAAACATATATATATATATATATTCATTTATAGATGATTTCAATGGCAACATCATAAACAAGCATTACTGAACATATGTGCTTTTGTGGCCCACACTTAACTTCTGCAAAAAATCAATAACAACAGAGTCTACAGTAGATTATTTCTGATAAGAAGCAAAATAAATAACAAGTAAATTACATTAGCTAGCCTGTTAAAACAATAGGTGTGTTCGACTTGAAGCAGTGCTGCGCAGACCGATCAGTGTGTGACATCAAAGTACAGTGAGAACTAGAGAGACCAGACGGCTCCTTATGCTTTTGAATCTCTTTCGAGGTCACACACCGATCAGTCTGCACAGCGCTGCTTCAAGTCAAACACACCTTATGTCTTGCCTGGCTGCCAAGCCTCTCTTCGCACAGCGGTGATCCATGCTCGCCATATCCCCTTGTCTTTAGGAAACCGAAACATTTTTATAATCACTAAGTAAAGGTGTAACAAAATATCTCTAGAATAGACATACGACAAAAAAAAAAAATCCCGTGTCCAGGGATTTTTTTTGCCATGCATTGGTCATAGAGCTCTTTGTGGCGTTGCCTCAGATGTTGAACTAGATTTGTTGCGCCAAGTTCACACGTACTCCGTCTGCAGTGCGTATACAGTATGTGTATGCGGTGCAGAAGCAGCATGGACTCATTGTGCTTTCGCACAGGACGCGTTTGCAGTCCGCTCCTGATGCGCGGCTGTTTACCACAAACACAACATTTATCCATTATTTTGATTTCAAATCCAAATGTTGTTTCTGAAAATGCTTTTTCAGCATTGTGATTCTCTTTTATCACAGTACAGTAATACAATCTTTCATAGACATATTCACGTTTAAACTCAATAAATATAACTTTGTTTAACTACCACCACGAGTGCCATCTATTATTGCCTTGTTTATCTAAAAGTGCACTTTTCCTTGTTTTAAATCTAGCCAAAAAGCCATGTGTTGACTGTGAAACAGTAGACTTTAATTATATGCATTTATGGTGTAATTACTAAACTTCCGTGTCAATCCATGTTAATTAATCGCAATTTCGATTAATTGCACAGCCCTACTTCAGTCTACTCATAACCTTAACTTTAACTGCGTTTGTAGTTGCCGTCATATTACTAGCCACTAGCCAGACGATAAACAAACACAGACCAGAAGTTATCTTCAGGCCAGGCGCGAAGGTCTATATATCTTGTCTATATATATTGGCCTTGTAGACTTTGACTTGCTACAAAAATGGTAGTAATTGTATCTGTTAACTAGGTTGTTGGTACATTTTGGAACAGGCAAAAGGAAGATTTGCAAATTGTTTGGAAATCATTGTTACGCTTGATAAAGCGTGGTGCATTTACATGCATTTACCATATGATTATGGTAACTGTATAACTGATGTGTGATCATGGTATGTATTGTGTGATTGCGGTGGATGTGTAACTCACAGGTGCCAGGCATGCAGGTCATAGAGGAGGAACAGAGCTCAACCATCCTCACAGCTGGTGCAGAAGATTCCAGAGGAGGAATAGTCACCAGTGAGATCTGCCATTAAAACAGGAAACATACTTACATCTTATAGTTTACATAAAACATATGACTGACAAGCCAATTGTCCCTGGCACTACAAACACAGTGCAGAATTTACAGCGAAATGACAAAAATTTTTAATTTTAGCCATGTTGTGAGTTTAAGTAAATACTGCCATAGATGATAATGCAAACAAGACAGAGCTAAAACCTATTATCTGAATTTTGTGACTATAACAGTATCTATATAACCTGGTTATTTCAATCCAGACAATGTTTTCATACAGTTAAACTGTTAAAACTGCTTTTTAATCAAGTCCAAATGTGACAACTATGCCAACCAAAAAAGTGTGAAAGAGGAAGAGAGAGCGTTGACCGAATGCTCGTTTGGCGACTGTCATTCCAAAGGATGAACGGCTAATTAAAACCAGCCTGAATATTTAATTACGTTTTGTCAAACACAGTCATGTAATATTCCATTTCCACACTGTGTCAAGACACTGATATTAATTTCTGTTCGCCGAGGCTAATGAGCATAAAAATGAGCATAAATTACACCCACTTTTCCGTCCTCTCCTGATCTGCTTTGAATATTCAAGCATGAATTCCTGATGGAGAGCAAATTGGGCTGGGATTCAGAAGGTATGCTGACCACTCCGCTTCTTTTCCTGTACTCTGGTGGACAGCACTCATATTAGCCTAAGAGGATGCTTGCGTGTCACCATCCACTCTCGCATCAGAAAGATTTATTTATCCAATTCTAAACCCGTAACAGCAAACAGAATTACTGTCCTTTCATTGAACGGGTTATTTTTTCCTCTCATAATTCACTTTGGAATGTTACGCTCAAGAACGGGACGTCAAAACTATTGTAACGATCCCACAAATCGGCTCTGATGTTTTGTTGCATCTATGCCTGCTGAATCTTGGACGTGTCCCAAGAATCCATCCAAACGTGATATGCAGCATAAAAAAGATGTAATGCAATACAAGTTGAAAAGCAAAAGTGCAAGGCAGGCAAGAAACGCGCTACACAAACTCTCACATTCACACACACACACACAGCAGAGATGGGTCAATGCCCTTTAAATGTGCATGTGAATATGCAAAGAAAGACAGAAAGAAAGAAAGAAAGTACAGCAACATGAGGCCATACATAGAAACAAAAGAAAATAAATCGAAAGGAAGAACACATGAACAAGCATAAGGAACAAACTAAAGAATGAACACAAATAGAAAAACAAATGAAAGAAGAGAAAAACAAATGAAAGTATGAAAGAATTAACAAACAAACAAATAAAAAAGAAACGAAAACAAAACAAAAAGAAATATAAACTAAAGTACATAAAAAAGAACAAGCAGAAGAACAAATAAAAGTATGAACTGGAAGAATAAAACAAACGAAATAACAAATTAATACATTGGAAAAAAACAACAACAAATAAAAAAAGAATATACAAAACTAAAAGAACAAATGAAAGAAAAACAAACAAACAAACAAACGAAAGAAAGAAAGAAAGCTTAATACCAGCTGATCCGATTCAGAAGGTAGCACAGATCGGTCTGTGATGAGCACTGCTCGAGATATCTGCCTGTGAAGATGGAGAAAGAGAATTAGAATTAAAGTCCTTAAAAAATGACAAGGTGAATAGGAAAAAGAATCATTAGAGACAAAGAACATATATTATGAAGGAGATTATCCGAAAAGAGAAAATTCTAAATGACCTAAGCCACATTTTGCTTTTTCAATTTACAGAAATTGCAATGAATAGTTCATCCAAATATCAATTACTCAGCCTTATATAATTTCCGAACACATATGACCTTCTTTCTTTTGTGTAACAATTAAAGATGTTTTGAGAAATGTTGTCACTGCTCTTTCAATACAATGAATGCATAGAATGACCAGGGCATTTTAAGCTCTCAAATCAATTTTTTGCTTCAGCAAATACAAACTTGGCACAATTTGTATGGTATGAGAAACTTACAACCCAGTGGGGAGATTAACATCAAACCTCACACATGTTTGAATATATGAAATATGTGGAACATATTAAGAGACTGGGGAGCTTGAAAATCTGTAAGTTGAAAAGGCAAAGTGTGATTTAGGATTCGTCACACAAAGATAGTTTAGAATATAGTGCACTACTCATATGGAACATTTGATGATTTCATGTGCTTTTATAGATTTGAACATAATTTGCTTTCATTGTATAGAATTGCGCAGGATGAACATTACTCAAAACATCTCATTTTGCATTTCACAAAGAAGTAATTTTATATTTTAGGAAAAATGTAACCTTATAATTACAATAAATTAAAACTTATAATATGTATCACTTTGGTCATTGGAGGTATAAAGTTTTATTGTAGTAGTATCAAATATATATGTTTATGAAACTTATATGTGTGACCCTGGACCCTGGATAAGGGTCAATTTTTTGAAATTGAGATTTATACACCATCTGAAAGCTGAATAAATAAGCTTTCCATTGATGTATGGTTTGTAAGGATAGGACAATATTTGGCCGAGATACAACTATTTGAAAATCTGGAATCTGAGGGTGCAAAAAAAATCAAATTTTTGAGAAAATCGCCTTTAAAGTTGTCCAAATGAAGTTCTTAGCAATGCATATTACTAATAAAAAATTCAGTTTTAATATATTTACAGTAGGAAATGTACAAAATATCTTCATGGAACATGATTTTTGGCATAAAAGAAAAATCTATCATTTTGACCCATACAATGTATTTTTGAATATTGCTACAAATATACCCCAGCGACTTAAGACTGGTTTTGTGGTCCAGGATCACATATTTGGGTGAAATGTCAACACTGTAGAGCCCCGCTCTTCATTATAACAGCACTACCTGCAGTTGGATGGGATGATCAATATCTGTTTTTCATGGTAGAAATGAGAGTTTGTCATTAATTACAGTTATGAATACTAATTTCACTTTTGTGGGGTATTATTTGCTTACCTGTAAGCTGTGCTCTGTCTTTGTTCATCTCTGATGTACGAATCTTCAACCACAAAATGACTGCAGCTGATCCTCTGACCACGTGTATCAATCACAGCTTTAACTCTATGACAAATGAATACAGAAGATGCATCAGGACAAGAAAAAAATCTCAGTTTTCTTTACCAAAAAAACTGCTTTAATCACAAAAGGGTCAAGAGACGGTCAGGTTATGATTTGAAGATAAAATATTAAATGACTAGAGCATCATATATTAGCTGTCTCACCCTTCATGGGTCAGGTGGTTACTACTAAATGCTCTTCTTATAAAGAGAAGTGGTCTGTCTTTTACATTTATCACTATAGGAATAGGATTTTATTCAAAAAGTCAAAATGAGATGTTAATAATTGTGCATATTGCTGGAATAAATCCATGTTAGATTTTTATTAAAATTTGGGACTTGAAACAAAACCAGTCGTGAACCACTGACTTAGGGCACAGGTTTGACCTTTCCTCCTTTAATCTCTGTAACCGAGAAGGAAAAGAGCGAGTGAGAGAGAAAAAGGAGGAACAGGAGAATCTGTTGGCTTGTTATGTCAAGAGTTATAAATGTGCTTTATAGGGCTCATTATCCAAACTAATGGGCTGGGGGTGACATCCTTGAAATGGACTTTCACAACACAATAAAGGGGCAAGAGAGCGTCTCCCTCCCCTGACGAAAAGTCAGGCCTCGGAATAATTTTCCCCTCAATGCCCAGATTGACTGCAGGACAGATCTGTTTATGTAAATGAAGATTTATTTACTCGGAGGAACTAGCAGAGGAAGCGGAGGGCTTCCAATCAATCGTCATGCAATGGGGTGAAAGAAAGCCATACGGGATACATTACACAAACCTAATAACACCTGAGGGCAACCGTAGTAGGTCGCTTTTGCTCACAGGAAGCTGCTTCGGAGTCAAGCAAACAAACTACTTATTTACGTAAATGACTGCAGGGCTTAACGATAAATTTAGACAGTCTAAGACTGTTTTAGGCCAATTGACAAAACAGTCAGGTCAATCTTACATTGCATGACATACATATATTTTTATGCTTTAACTTGAATATTTGTTTTAGTGTGTATTGAAAATTGAGATTGTTAATTTAGCGATTTCAGCTTTGACTGTATAACTTTCATTTTTTAAAGCAAATTAAAAACCTAATGGATTTTTTATATAAATTCTAGAGTGTATATATATATATATATATATATATATATATATATATATATATATATATACTGTACATATATATATATATATATATACATACACACACAGTTTATGTAGTAAAAAGTATAACTTTTTTTAAATATATATTTTATTTTTAAAAAATTATAATTTTTGTCTTCACAAAAAACCTAACTACAAATAATTTATTAGGTTTTTCATTTGCATTCAAGTAAATTTAAACCTAACGGAATTTGAACCTAATAAAAATAAACATTCTACAGAATATATACACATTTTTAAGCATATAAATGATTTTGATACAAATATCACAACAGTATCAAAAATGATGGAATTATTTGAACTTTGGGCAAGCAGAAAAAAAAATCCTTATTGATTGAGTCCTGGATTGGATTTTGTTTAAAAAATGTTTTCGACAACAATATATCTTTCACAATTATCTGCAGTGTTCTCTCAGTCAGTACTCCATGTAAGTAGTATACAAGTCAGGGTTTCCCATACATTGGTTTATTTGTGGCAGCCCGCCACAATATCAACACTGACTGCCACAAACAGATTTTCCAAAAGGCTTTGACTTCATTGTATAAACATGAGCACTGTTTCAAAATGAAAACGCGGCATGGGTGTTTTTATATGAATGTATATTTTTTGAAGGGAACCGATTGTATTCAGAAAAGTTTTGATGTAATTTTCATTTAATCCTTCTTATAATGCCTGATAAAGTAGTGTTCATGAGAGCATTACAGCCGTTACCGGGGAAACTGCTATTTCTGTTGCTCCAAAAGCGCCTCCTGCTGGCGGAGAATGAATTTGTACTTTCAATAAGCCCGTCTGCTGTTTTATATTTACATTATATGCATATATATTTCCCCCAGGGGAAGTGCCGCCACACACAGAATGTAAGTCTGTAAGTAAACCACCTTCATAAACCACGTCAGTGGCCTCTGAACCAATCAGAGTGATAACCTTGCGTTCAAACTCATTTGAGTTTTACATACTTCTCTGCAAATGTGGTTTTGTGTTGGCTAAACAGATCATATGCTGAATGACACCATGACGGATATTACAAGCAAGAAGCTTATTTGTCTTGGTAAATATTGCATAAAATAGTATGCCATTGTTTTAAATCACTGAAAAAAATCTGTGTACACATTAATTCACGTATGGACAAAAGAGAGTATACGGATTATTAAATAGAAATATTTTAATCAATTTTTTTTACACATTTTGCACGCTTCAAATGGAAACTACATTTTTTCATTTTAGTATTGCTCGCTCATGCAAAAGAAAGTTATTCACAAATAGCGATATCTGTTGCATTACATTTCCAACTTGGATAGTCGACAGCATATGGGTTGGGTGCTTTTTTCAATGTAACCCCGAAAAAGGTATTTTATTACTAAGCAGAAGAAGAAACCACGAGTGACAGAAGAAATCATCACAGGCCTGGTTTTGTTGACATGTGAAATTAATTCGGACAAATGAATACGGACATGTGATTGAGTTGCCTGTCGAGGCGGTAACAAAGCGGACAGCGCTGGACCGTTCCCGCCGCATGGAGTGGCAGGTGGGATTTGAGGGTCTGTAATCCTCTGCTGCATTATTAATCTGGCTCTACCCTTTTCTGCTTTATGTCTGTAATAAGAGCAGACATAAGGCGGTAATTTATGATGCCAGGGAAATTAAAATCATTGTTCAGCCTGCCAGACACCTTGCCAGTTTTTTTTTCACCTTCATAAAACTTTTTCCATCGATGATGTATGACGCTAACCTCCAGCGCAGGGCTGACTCCACACGGGGCGCCACTGGTGGAGGGCATGGACGGTCCACGCTACACTCTAGGCGATGCTTTATAGACTGAGCTCAGGGTCTGATGGACACCTTGGTTTGGAGCTCTGCCAGCTCCCACCCCAGATCCTCACCAGCCCCGGACAGCTGAGTCTGGCTCCAATCCAATATGGTTGAAAGAATTTGCCTTGAAACTTCTAAGTGCTCCAGTTATATTGGGGTTCTTTATTCCATGGCATTGGTGGCGATCAGAAAGAACTTACAGTAAATTATCAATTAAGGTCATCTTGGTTGTTTTTCGTATGCTACATTAAGTTTTGAGGAACACTTCTTCTGCTCAAGTAGAACTGACCGTAGGGATGGCTGACGGCATCCAGGGACAGACGTCACATATCAAAACCGACCTCTGTCAAATGACCTACTAAAAGAGTGAATAAAGTATGTTGGGAGAACAAATTTTGAAAGTTGTTAGATATGTTAGAGTTTAATATGTTAATATGTCAACTACATGATTTTCTGAAAGGTAGATGTTGGTAAGTGCTAGTCATAGAAGGATTGCCACACACAAGATTTTTTTTTTTTTTTTGCACAGCAGCAAAACAAAAACAACCCATTCAGGTTGGACGGATTTATGAATAGGTACGCATGCACATTTTTGCGATTATATTTGATTCTGATTCACAAGCTTTTGCTTTGATTCAATTCAGCTTTCTGTTTGTTTTGATTCATTTTTTTATTTGGTTTTATGTGATTTTCATTCAATCTTATTTCAGTTATAATGTTGAACTATGAAACAAATCCTCTCTGGGGTACTGCTGTAAATTATATGACTCTTCTAGAAAATAACATTTAAATTCAATATTATCTATAATATATAATTACTACTAGATTTTAATAGTATTTTAAAAATTAACAACAGGGTCCAAACTATACTGTATAGTTAAACTGTTATTATAATAATGTTAAAATGATTATACATTGTCCTTTGGTTCACTGGTTGCACTATACGTTTTTTGTTTTGTTTTGTTTTTTTGAGTCACTAAAAAGAGCTGGTTCGTGAGAGTCGTTTGTTCATGAATTGAACTACACTGTATACTCTGTATGTTATAACTCAATTTGGACTCAGGGAAAATGTGACACAATTTGCCATGGAGCTGTCGTAACAGATGTGCTGCTGCGGAGTAGAAGAATGTTTTTTTAATTTTAAGAATTGATACCGAGATCGCAATTAATCAGAGAAGCAATATTTTTACCCAGCCCTAATTGTGTTGATATGCCCGATTACTAGCTTACGAGCAATTTATGATTTTCTGATAAACTACAGGAAAATTCATCTAATTTGAGAGTTGCTGCGCCGCCATGATACGCCATAGCCTTTACACTAGTAAGCTAATGCTATCACATGTGTAAGTGTCCGTGTGCTACATCCAGAGGAATCCAAGCCCCCTGGGTCATTCAACAGCAAGATGAAAGAAACTCAATATATTGCCAAAGAGAAGGCCAAAGAATGAGAGAGGAATAAAGAGAGGGGAAAAACCCCAATCTAACCTAGTTTATGACAACAATCCACCTTTGAAACTCATTAAAGGCCTTTCTGGTGGTGCCTGACGCACATTATCAGCACAGATTAATCAAGGGAGACGGGAGATGAACTCTCATTTTTTAAGAGGCAGCAACAGAGGGCTTTTTTGTCTTCAGATGAAAATCAATTAGTGGAGGTAAGGCCACGAGGAAAAAGCGGCATCACTCATTGCCGGCCCAAGTGGCAGAGTCTGTGATTTGTCTTCTGACGCACATTATCAGCACAGATTAATCAAGGGAGACGGGAGATGAACTCTCATTTTTTAAGAGGCAGCAACAGAGGGCTTTTTTGTCTTCAGATGAAAATCAATTAGTGGAGGTAAGGCCACGAGGAAAAAGCGGCATCACTCATCGCCGGCCCAAGTGGCAGAGTCTGTGATTTGTCTCCCGAGCTCGGCTGCTTAAGGGGGGGCTGGTACCGCTGTCTCCCTGAAAATTAATTTCATATCTATATTCCGAATATCCCCCCCATTCACTCATGTGCGCCATCTCTTGGCCTTGTTTTTGAGTACCCTGTACACAAACGAGCTCTGATCAGCCTTGGGATACTGAAGTGGCGTGAATCAACCAGAGGAGGAAGTAAATCTACTTACCTAATTGAATTTCTGTGTCTTATGAGTTTTTTTTATTTTTTAAATGTGTGTTAATGTATGAAAACTGAATCAGGGGGGAGATACTTCCTTGTTTGCCGCCTTGTCCACAACCAGGCACTGCACTGAGTGCCGCAGACAATAAATTCCTCCAAATACGGCGCACATTCTGCAGGGAGACAAAATAGTAACACCTTACATACACTTGAATGCATTTATATGACATCCAATCTGAATGGACCTGCTAAACAGCCGTAATTGCAGCTGATGGCATGACATTAAAAGGGATGATCACACCTTGTCCACACGAAAAGGACAAAATCCAATTCATCTGACAAGGCAAAAATGTCACCAAGATTTTAAAATGTGTTAACTTCCCAAGTTAAGCTTTTTGTCATATAGTCTTGCAGTTTTGTGGGGATAAAGCCTAGCAGCTTAATATAGACAAGGACAAAGTGATTCACATGTTCTTAAAAAGCTTGGAGACAAACTTAGACAAAGAGGCACAGATTCCAAGATGAATGGTCAGACCGACAGTCAGACAGAAGCTGTGACGTAATAGCTGACATATTTTGCGTGATTGCACATTCGTTGAATTATTTATAATGATACGAATAACCCTTTTATAATAAAAGTAACTGTTCAGATATTGGTGTCCTTTAACATACTGCCATTTCTGCAGTTTTACAAAGGCAACAAGCCATTAGTGGCTGAGTTAGTGACACTTTACATGATTACACTCTAAACCATAGTAAAAATTAGTGAACTGCACATTCTCTCATGGGTTATTCCATAAAAATACATCTAATTAAAATAAATAAACAAAGATGATTTATTTATTGATTTAAAGTCATGATTTATTTAAAGAATTAAGATTTATATTTTAAAATAAAAGGCCATAAGATTTTAAAATGTTTTTGAAAGAAGTCTCTTATGCTCACCAGGTTGCATTTATTTGAAAAAAAAAAAAAAGTAAAAGTAAAAACACACAGTAAAAATATTGTAAAATATTATTACAATTATAAATAAATGTTTTCTGTTTTAATATATTTGAAGTATATTTTAAAGAAGTATTTCTTATTATTACCAACGCTGAAAACAATTGTGCTGCTTAATATTTTTGTGTAAATATATATTGTCATTCAAGATTCTTTGATGAATGGAAAGGACAAAAACAACTTTTGTAAGACTGTAAATGTCTTTACGGTCTCTTTTGAACAGTTCATTGCGGAATTAAAGTATTTACTTATTTAAAAAAATACTAAAAATCATACTGATCCCAATCTTTTGAGTGGCACATATATAGTATCTCACAGAAGTAAGTACACCCCTCACATTTTTGTAAATACTTTATTATATCTTTTCATGTGACAACACTGAAGAAATGACACTTTGCTACAATGTAAAGTAGTGAGTGTACAGCTTGTATAACAGTGTGAATTTGCTGTCCCCTCAAAATAACTCAACACACAGCCATTAATGTCTAAACCGCAGGCCACAAAAGTGAGTACACCCCTAAGTGAAAATGTCCAAATTGGGCCCAAAGTGTCAATATTGTGTGTGGCCACTAGGGATGTAACAATTATTATTATGTATAGTTTCACAAAACTGAAGTCAAACCAATCTGTTTTTGCCTCAAATTTCGAAATTATACAATGTAATTTAGATTAAAAACTGCTCGTGTTGCATGTATGCAGCATCTTTGTTTGGATCATGATTAAAATGCAGTTGTTGCCTCTAATTTTAAATGGAAAGAGCTCAGACAAAGCCTTAGTTTGTTTATATGAAGAGATTTATTTTATTTGTGTTACTTATTTATTTGATTCGGGGCTTATTTTAAAATTTCAATTTAGTTTTGTTATTTACATTTACATTATATTTAAATTTTGTCATTTAGCAGATGCTTTTGTCCAATCAAAACCAACAAAAGAGCAATAATATACTAGTGCGATATTAATATATTATTATAGTGTTATATTTCAATTTCACAAAGGAATGTGCAGCATTTTGTCCAAGCAATAATAAAAGGACACATTTAATTTATAATTTGTCTTAAATCTCATTTTGTAAAAAATAAAATAAAATCGTGAATCGAATAGAATTGTGAAAGCAAAATCGTGAATCTAATCGAATCATGAGTTGAGTGAATCGTTACATCCCTAGTGGCCACCATTATTTTCCAGCACTGCCTTAACCCTCTTGGGCATGGAGTTCACCAGAGCTTCACAGGTTGCCACTGGAGTCCTCTTCCACTCCTCCATGACGACATCACGGAGCTGGTGGATGTTAGAGACCTTGCGCTCCTCCACCTTCCATTTGAGGATGCCCCACAGATGCTCAATAGGGTTTAGGTCTGGAGACATGCTTGGCCAATCCATCACCTTTACCCTCAGCTTCTTTAGCAAGGCAGTGGTCGTCTTGGAGGTGTGTTTGGGGTCGTTATCATGTTGGAATACTGCCCTGCGGCCCAGTCTCCGAAGGGAGGGGATCATGCTCTGCTTCAGTATGTCACAGTACATGTTGGCATTCATGGTTCCCTCAATGAACTGTAGCACTCATGAAGCCCCAGACCATGCCACTCCCACCACCATGCATGACTGTAGGCAAGACACACTTGTCTTTGTACTCCTCACCTGGTTGCCACCACACATGCTTGACACCATCTGAACCAAATAAGTTGATCTTGGTCTCATCAGACCACAGGACATGGTTCCAGTAATCCATGTCCTTAGTCAGCTTGTCTTCAGCAAACTGTTTGCGGCCTTTCTTGTGCATCATCTTTAGAAGAGGCTTCCTTCTGGGACGACAACCATGCAGACCAATTTGATGCAGTGGGCGGCGTATGGTCTGAGCACTGACAGGCTGACCCCCCACCCCTCAACCTCTGCAGCAATGCTGGCAACACTCATACGTCTATTTCCCAAACACAACCTCTGGATATGAAGCTGAGCATGTGCACTCAACTTCTTTGGTCGACCATGGCGAAGCCTGTTCTGAGTGGAACCTGTCCTGTTAAAACCGTTGTATGGTCTTGGCCACCGTGCTGCAGCACAGTTTCAGGGTCTTGGCAATCTTCTTATAGCCTACACCACGTCTTTATGTAGAGCAACAATTCTTTTTTTCAGATCCTCAAAGAGTTTTTTGCCATGAGGTGCCATGTTGAACTTCCAGTGACCAGTATGACCAGTCCTGCTCCCCATTCACACCTGAGACCTTGTAACACTAATGAGTCACATGACACCGGGGAGAAAAAATGGCTAATTGGGCCCAATTTGGACATTTTCACTTAGGGGTGCACTCACTTTTGTGGCCAGCGGTTTAGACATGAATGGCTGCGTGTTGAGTTATTTTGAGGGGACAGCAAATTTACACTGTTATACAAGCTGTACACTCACTACTTTACATTGTAGCAAAGTGTCATTTCTTCAGTGTTGTCACATGAAAAGATATAATAAAATATTTACAAAAATGTGAGGGGTGTACTATTGTAATAATATTTCACAATATTACTGTGTTACTGTATTTTTGACTAAATAAAAACAGCCTTGGTGAGCCTTAAGAGCCATAGGAGACCTCTTTCAAAACATAAAAAAAAATCGTAATTATTCTAAACTTTTGACAAGTAGAGTATATATACATTAACAAGGCATAAATATAGACCAAAATAAATCCATCCATCCTGGGTGTACACCGCCGCCACCTTGTATGCAATGGGCAAGAAGGCAAGAGGTTAGGTATTAGGTCGCATAAGCATGTCTAAAAACACAGATGGTGAGATTTTGCTGTTCTCTCCAAGCTTAAGAAACAGGGCAGGAAAAAAAAACTTCTGGCCTTGTCTGCCCAGATTAATATAGAGACATGGTATCTTAATAAAGTGCACAGATAAAAAAAAACAGAGAGGCTAAATCTGCCAGCAATCATCTGGGCCCGTCTCCTGTCCTCTGCAGAACCCCATAGAGGCAGCGGGGAAGCCCTTTGATGTCATTAACCCTAACTGACAGACGTTTAAGCTGATATTACTCTAATTAACTGCCCGCTGTCGGCCGCAATGATGCAGTCGGGCAGAGTGCGTGGGCACTGCCTTTCCCTCTCCAGGCCCCAGCACTCGCCCTGGCGACATCACTCGCCATCACGGCTAAATTAACAGTTGTGAAAATCCAGTACCCCCACAAGCCCCTGCTCTTTATAGCCTCTAAATGGCATTTCAGTTCCTATCAAGACGGGAATCAGGGGACGTGATTTTTTAATACGGTAGCAAAACAATGGAGGCCATTAATAGCTCAACGCCATGACAGCGCGCTCACCGATGATTTATGAGTTTGTGTATAATTTGATTATGCTATTAATTCCACTGATTACAGCTGCAGCGAGTGTGGAGAAGGTCACATCCAAAATAAATCTTCAACAACTCCCTCTTTCTCGTCACCTAACACCCTACCCCCCTTCACCCCACCGACATCCCCACAAAACAACTGCCTCCAACTAGTTATTTCTGTAATTAAAAAGTAATGTAACAAGAAGCACAAACAAGCTTCGGGCTCTAATGGCAACATCACGGCAGAGCTTCAAATAAATTGAACAGAGCCTTGTATAGACAGAGGCTTTTTTCATGCCGCCGGAAACGCAATGGTATGATATCCTAGTGTTTTCAGAGATAACAGGTTGAGATAGCTGAAGGCTGCAATCCATAATGAATTTCACTTTGCGAGTTAAGATGCTCTACTTTGTGTTATTGATATTGATCTATAAAAAGGATATTAAGGTAAAATAAAAAAAATGGACATTCTTAAAGCTACCTGGTACTATAAGTCTCAATTTGTGCAACAATATTGAAAGCATACTAGTGTTCAAAAGTTTGGAGTCAGTAAGATTTTAATGTTTTTCTAAGTAAACAGTAAGATTGTGAAAAAGTGTCACATAATCCTTCAGAAATCAAATCTAACATGCTGATTTGGTGCATAAGAAACATTATTATTGTTAAAAACAGTTGGACTGCTTCATATTTTTGTGGAAAGAGTGATACATTTTTTTTCAGGATTCTTTGAGGAACAGAAGGTTCAAGAGAACGGAATTTATTTACATTTAGACATTTAACAGACGCTTTTATCCAAACCGACTTACAAATGAGGACAATGGAAGCAATCAAAATCAACAAAAGAGCAATGATAT